AATAATAGTGGGTCATATATCTCACAATTATTGTTGTATATAATTGCAAAATCACGATAGCATGACTATGATGCATTTGTTATCACCCAATGAAGGAAAATGATAAATATATAATAAAAATGGCAAAATTTATAGATAACAAATTCATGTGGAATTTGACATTACATTGTTTGGAATAATTATTGCCGAATTGTTAATGTTCATTTTCTTCATTATCCAAGAAAGATGACAAATATCTATCAATGTGTTTATATCAAACAACCCTGTGAAGTTGGTTCCTACTTTCCTATTTAAACATGGAAAACATAATCATTATTCTTTGAAATTAATACCGCCTAATTTTTAATGCTCATCATCTTCATTACCATGTCCAAAAAAGATTATAAATATCTCCCAATGTGTTTATATCAAATAATTATGTGAAGTTGATTCCAACTTCCCTATTTAAACATGGACAACACAATCATGATAAATTTGGTTTTATATATTTTTGACATTATTATCTCCAATTGTTAATGTTCCTGTTCATTACAGGTAAGATGATAAATATCTCTAGATGTGTTAATATCAAAATAATTATTTATGTATGTGAAGTTGGTTCCAACTTCCCTATTTAAACATGGACAACACAATGATGAATTTGAGTTTATATTCTTTGAAATTATTACCACCTAATTGTTAATGTTCATTATCTTCATTACCATATCCAAAAAAGATGATAAATATCTCCCAAAGTGTTTATATAAAATACTTCTGTGAAGTTAGTTCCTAGTTCCTTATTTAAACATGGACAACACAATCATAATGAATTTGACGTTATATTCTTTGAAATTATAATGTTCATTATCTTCATTATCATGACCAAAAGATATTATAAATATCTCTAAATGTGTTTATATAAATAATTTTGTGAAGTTGGTTCCTAGCTACTTATTTAAACATGAACAAAACAATCATTATAAATTGATGTTATATTGTTTGACATTATAATCGTCAAATTGTTAATGTTCCTTTTCTTCATTACCATGTCCAAACAAGATGATAAATATTTCCCAATGTGTTTATACCAAATAATCCTTTGAAGTTGGTTCCTATTTCCTTATTTAAACATAGACAACCTAATCATGATGAATTTGATGTTATATTGTTTGACATTATTATCACCAAATTGTTAAAGTTCCTTTTTTCATTATCCAAGAAAGATGATACACATCTAACAGTGTTGATATACATAATAATTCTGACTGTGAAGTTAGTTCCTACTTCTCTATTTAAACAAGGAAAACACAATCATGATGAATTTGACATTTTTTATTTTTTGACATTATTATTGCCAGATACAAATAAAAATCTATAAATGCACAATTGCCAAATTAATACTGTATCCAGGGAGTTGTTATTAACAACTCCCTGCTGTATCTACTATTTGAATAACATCCCCTCTAGAATATCATGTGGATCAAATGCCTCCTGGAATATATACACTGCTGGGGTGTTTATAAATGCCCTGGGGTGTTTATCTCTTTACTTAAAAAAGTGTCTCAACACCATTCAATTTCCAGTGGTTTACTGCTGTAGAATTATATTATTAGGCTAACCAAGGAGCTACTTGACAAACTTGTGGTACCTACGCTTCTGGTGAAAAACAAAATGGGCAACAGTTTGAGTGTAATAATATGTATCATATCATTTTGAAGATAGGTGACTCCCTTGAATAAATGTCCCCTCAAACAATGTTCTACTAGGAAAAAATTAGGAACATAGCCTCCGTGAGAACATGTGCTATACTTCCTCTAAAGAAAAACAGAAGACAATTATCAATAATTATATTTTTAATAAAGTCATTTTTTGTACCAGACATAGGACAAGGAAAATGAAGTAAACTGCAATGACTAAAGGCAGAAGAGATTAAAAATATCACTGTCTATGATATACCCATAAAGAGGGCAGTGTTGTACCTAAGTGGTCTGTATATGGGGTAGGTTCATTTCCCTCTCCCTTGCAACCTTCTCGTAGTTCATTACCATTCCACATCTTTAAGATGCTACCAACAAGTTCACCTACGTTTGACATTAGAAGATCAACCTGAAACATCAAGACAATAAATCATGTAGACATAACATTACAGTAACATGTGGATTACCAATGATTATGGTCTTAAACAAGTATAAAGTAATCTGATTAAAATAATACAATATGAGTGATTGTGCCTGTAACGATTTTCCGAAAGCAACAGTGAATCTTAATCTTATTTAGTGGATATTAAAGTTAAATATAAAATTGAAATCAGACAAATATGACATCAAGTTAAGTACCTGTATCTGTTCCTGTGTATGTGTGTATCTCAGGCCCGTACGCTGGATTTTAATGGGTGTCTGTGAATTTGTAGAGAGTGGACCGAAATGTCTCCTGGGGTGGGGGGAGGTATCTGGGGGGAACCCTGCTGGGTTAGAGGGGAAGAGCTCAGGCAATTTTTGACAATTTGAGGTCTTTATTTAATTGATTTCTGAACTGAGATGCAATATGTTTAGGCCTAAATATATTACTTTATGCAATTTCTCCACATCCACCATGGTCATTCCAGGTTGTTTGGAAATTCTCTTAAGGCCCATATAGGCTACACTAATACAAGATACAAGATACAAGTCAACAATAATAATGCGTATACTTTTCTCACATAATTATGCACAATTGATTACAATCCATTATACTGTATGGCCCAGTGATTAGAATGCTTTACTAATGTAATGCTATGTCGCAATATTGGTTAATTTGGCTTTTACTTTCCTATATTCCTTCCTTCATAGTTTTTTTATTCAGTTAAAAGTTAAATCAAACAATAATATATAGACTTAGGCCTGTATACAGTACAGTACTGTGTGTACAGTAGCTGTGTGATATGCTTGCTGCATTTAGCTACGTGAAAGGAGTACTTTCCCATTGGGCTTCGATGCCGGTTTCTTTTTATTCCAAGACACCTCTTACTCACTTATCTATTCGGAAGTTATTGTGTTCCCCCCCCCCCCCACACCTCTTCTGTTTAAAAAAAAATCTGGATCCGTCCCTATTAACCAAATGAGAAATTTGTCAAAATTTTAGTAATATTAATAAATAATAATACTGTAATACAAATTTAGTAGTGTGCCAGTTCCAAAGAACAATGATGAAAGGCTCAGTGTTTTCAATAACTAGAGCTAGTTGTTAAAAAATGAGTTTTCAGGGAAGATTCAAATGCAGAGATGGGCTTTACTGCCCACTACTACTGAGCAAGGGCTTAGCCAGCGAGCCGTCCGGCCGTCTTTTGGAGAGCCAACAATTATTTATGACGGCCACTTTTACCTTTTTTCGATGACTTGGCCTACTCACTGAGCTTGACCTAGCCTAGTTGGACCTGGTTCACCTTTAGAAAATACTGTCCACCCACTCCTGCTCGGTTCTTTGTCTTCCATTTTGGACGGCCTATTTTTCTGGCTAAACCCATGCTACTAAGAAATATAAAAGTTGTCAAGACTTGACTGACTATTTATAGGCCCATTGCTCTCAATGCCATACCAATGAAATGTCTTGAGAAACTGGTTAAGAACGAAATTTTAACTGAGGCTGAAAGTAAATTAGATCTTTGTCAATTTGCATAC